CTCCATTTGCTCTTTCCCATTCTCTTTCTTCATCCATGTCCCTCTTATCTTCTCTTTACCGCTCTCTCCCTCCCTCCTCTTTCTTGCTCATCCTTCCTTCCTTTCTCCCTTCACAAACCCCCATCCCCGACCTTCTACCCTCCCTTCCTCCCTCCCTCCCTCCTGTTCTCCTTCCCTCCTGTTCTCCCTCCCTCCCTCCTGTTCTCCCTCCCTCCCTCCTGTTCTCCCTCCTTCCCTCTTGTTCTCCCTCCCTCCCTCCTGATCTCCTTCCCTCCCTCCTGTCCTCCCTCCCTCCCTCCCTCCTGTTCTCCCTCCCTCCCTCCCTCCTGTTCTCCCTCCCTCCCTCCCTCCCTCCTGTTCTCCCTCCCTCCCTCCCTCCTGTTCTCCTTCCCTCCCCCCTGTTCTCCCTCCCTCCCTCCCTCCTGTTCTCCCTCCCTCCTTCCTGTTCTCCCTCCCTCCCTCCTGTTCTCCTTCCCTCCCCCCTGTTCTCCCTCCCTCCCTCCCTCCTGTTCTCCCTCCCTCCCTCCCTCCCTCCTGTTCTCCCTCTCTCCCTCCCTCCCTCCTGTTCTCCTTCCCTCCTGTTCTCCCTCCCTCCCTCCTGTTCTCCCTCCTTCCCTCTTGTTCTCCCTCCCTTCCTCCTTCCCTCCTGTTCTCCCTCCCTCCTTCCCTCCCTCCTGTTCTCCCTCCCTCCCTCCCCCCCAGGCCACGACGGACCTCCACGGCACCTGCACAGACCGGTTCACGGGGACATCGGCAGCCGCTCCTCTCGCTGCGGGGATCCTCGCGCTCGCCCTCGAAGTCAAGTAAGCGTGAAGGTCAAGTATAAGGACAAAGGAAGAGGTCTGGTATAAGGGGAAGGGTAAGGGCCAAGCTTTTAGGTCGAGGAGGAGGTGAATTAAAGGGGCAAGTATAAGGGGAAGTGGTCACGGGGGGGGGGTCAGGATCAAGTTTTTAGGTCAAGGATGAGGAAGTATGAGGGGAAGGGTAGTTGTCTGGTATGAGGGGGAGGTTTAAGGTTCAGTTTTTAGGGTTAAGGATGAGGCGAATTAAAGGGGGCAAGTATGAGGTAAATGGATCAAATAGCGAGGGATGTGTAAAGGTGAGGAATCAAGTATGAGTATTAGGTATGATAGAAACAGTATGAGTGTTAATCATGAGGGTCAGTCTCTCTGTCTTTCGTTTTCTTTATGTCTGTCTGTCTGCCTCTCTCTCTCTCTCTCTCTCTCTCTCTCTCTCTCTCTCTCTCTCTCTCTCTCTCTCTCTCTCTCTCTCTCTCTTTCACTGTTTGTCGCTTTTTCTTATGCAGTCTAGGTTTAATATTTTTAAACAATGTTTTCCAGAATGCTATGCTTACAAAAAATAGGTGTGAAAATGAATAATCTTAAATTATAAGATTAATTATTCACGCTTCCACTTTACTGCCTTGTTTGTGAGAATAATCCTCTCGAAAAATTATTAATTTTCGTTCAGATTTTTCCTCATCTCAGGTCATTAAATCTCAAAGATTCCTTATAACAGCCCATCATGGTGAGCATCCCAGGAACCCTAACTTCCCCTTCAACAGGAATGAAATTATTTCCACCGATCTTTTCTGACCTACCCATAAGCCTTAATGACCTTATATGACCTCCCTTCTGGCCAAGAGCAGCGCTGAGTCATGTCTCATAAACCTCCTCTGACCTACCCTTAAACTCTCTCTCCCGGCCCAACAAGGGCATGGGATTTACAGCATCTCTTCCTGACGTCTAACATCAGGCAACCAATGACCTAGGATCTCCAGTAACTTCCACTGGCTTCCAACCTTTCCCTCACAGCACTCACCTGGGATCCCAATGACCTCCTCTGACCACTAACATCTTGTACTCACCTGAGTACCCAATGAACTCTAACCTCCCCCTCCGAGCAATCACTGGGAACCCGCTGACCTCTCCCTCGTAGTCCAGCAATGACCTGACCTCTAACCTTCCCCTCCCAGCACCCACTTGGGTACCCAATGACCTCCCCTGACTTCTGTCCTCTTCTTCCCAGTACTCACTTGGAGTCCCAAAGACCTTTTCTGGCCTCTAACCTCTCTCTCCCAACACCCACCTGGGTACACAATGGCCTCCTGACCACTAACCTCTCCTTCCCATCACACATCTGGGATTCCACTGACCTCTACCCTCTCCCTCGCAGTCCGGCATCGACCTGACCGCTAACCTCTCCTTCCCAGCACTCACTTGGAATCTCACTGACCTCCTCTGACCTCTACCCTCTCCCTCGCAGACCGGCATCGACCTGACCGCTAACCTCTCCTTCCCAGCACTCACTTGGAATCTCACTGACCTCCTCTGACCTCTACCCTCTCCCTCGCAGACCGGCATCGACCTGACCGCTAACCTCTCCTTCCCAGCACTTACTTAGAATCTCACTGACCTCCTCTGACCTCTACCCTCTCCCTCGCAGACCGGCATCGACCTGACCGCTAACCTCTCCTTCCCAGCACTTACTTGGAATCTCACTGACCTCCTCTGACCTCTACACTCTCCCTCGCAGTCCGGAAATGACCTGGCGCGACATGCAGCACGCGGTTGTGTGGAGCAGCGAGGTCGGACCGCTTCATCACAACGGCGGCTGGGTGACCAACGGGCGCGGTCTGAGGGTCAACCCTCGCTTCGGTTTCGGTCTGCTCAGCGCCGTCGGTCTCGTGGGCGTCGCTAGTAACTGGACTCGCGTGCCGGACAAGACCGTCTGCAGGATCACGCCTTCCAACAGGTACGGAGGATGAGCGGGGTTTCTTCAGGTGGGTGCTAATCGGATTCCAGATTGGAAGAAATGCGGATTAGATGGCAGATTGGGTAAATTGTGGATTGGATTCCAGACTGGCTGATTGAATTGCAGATTTGGTGAAATGTTGATTGGATTCCAGGTTGGGATAATTGCGGATTGGATTCCAAATTGGGTGTGCTGATTGAATTCCGGAATAAGTGCCGTGCTAAGTGGATTTCAGATTTTGCGAAATACTGACTGAATTCCAGATTGGGTGCTGTGCTGACTGGATTCCAGATGGGGTGAAGTGACTGGATTCCAGATTGATTGACATTTTGATTGGATTCCAAATACTGACTAGATTTCAGATTGAGTGGAATGTTGATTGAATTCCAGATTGGGTGATATTGTGGGTGAAATACTGACTAGATTCCAGATTGGGTGAAATGCTGATTGGATTCCAGAATTGGGTGAAGGGCTGTTTGAATTCCAGGTTGGGTGATGTGATCATTAGACTGATTGGCCATTGAGCTGACTGTACCCTAGACTGAATGTTTGGCTGATTAAGCATGCATCTGACTGTATTCTTGACTGAATGTTGTTTTGGTTGCACGTTGAGCTGATTAGACTGGAGACTGAGTGTGCTGACTGAACTTCAAATTGGCTCTCGATTATGTTATGGAAATTGTGACACATTTTCGGTGTCCGGCGTGCTCCATTACCATGAAAACCTTGATTTTTTGTCTGTTTCTCTCTTTCTCTGTCTCTCTCTCTCCTTTTCTGTCTGTCTGTCTCTCCCTCCCTTTCTATTTCTCCTTCTCTTCTTCCCTTCCTCATTCCCTTCTCTACTTTTCACCCTCCCTCCCTCCCTTCTCTTCTTCCCACCCTATCTCTCTCCCTCTCCCCCTCCCCTATTTACTCGTTCCCTCCACCCTCCCGTCCTCCCACTCCCATTCTCTCATCCCCCCCCCTCCTCTCTAGCACGGGAGGTGACCTGCAGACCGGCGAAGAAGTCCTGATCTACTTCGAAGTGGAGTCGAGTTGCGTGATTAGGTCCCTTGAACACGTCCAGGTCATCGCCTCCATCAGCTACTCCAGGAGAGGCGCCCTGGACATCGCTCTTATGAGTCCTATGGGTAAGGCTTGAATTTTGTGTGCGCGCGCGCGCGCGCGCGCGTGTGTGTGTGTGTGTGTGTGTGTGTGTGTGGATGTGTGTGTCTGTGTGGAAGGGGACCTGATTTCTATTTTTCTTAAGTGTGTCGAGGGTCAAAGATATCTAGTTCTTGTTTGAAATGTCTGTGGATCAGGGAGTGACGATGATAGAATTCGACAACTATGACGAATATAATGAAGCAACAACATTATCAATGGTTATAATGATGCTGATGATACTGAACTATCAACATATCCACATATCCTTTCATTAATCGCTCGCTGCCCTCCTTAGGCACACCGACGACACTCCTGAGTCCTCGCGTGGCGGACGGATCCACGGAAGGATTCAAGGACTGGGCGTTCATGTCCGTTCATACCTGGGGAGAGGATCCGCGAGGAGTCTGGAAGTTGAACATCTCCGATTATGTGAGTCCTTTTGAGCTGGCACGCGTACGTACACGTACATGCACGGGCATGCACATACCTACTGTACATGTACACTCATATGCACATACACAGATGCAGATGCAAATACATACGCAAACGCAGGCACACGCACACATACGCACACACGTACGCTCGCACACACACTCGCATATGCACACACAAACACACACGCGCGCGCGCACACGCACACACATACACACGCACGCACACACACATACACACACACGCACACACACACACGCACGCACGCACGCACGCACGCACGCACACACACACACACACACACACACACACACACACACACACACACACACACACACACAACGTGATATATTAAAGCATACAGTTCCTATATCCTGATAACATAATCAAACATGCAAATATGGGGCATTCAAGGGGACCTAGCTATATACGGGTCGGGACTCAACGTGGGGTCCACCAACTGTTAAAACTCATTATTAACTTTTTACCCTAAGTTTCATTGAGATTTTGTGCTTTTCTCCTCCTCCTCTCCCTCCCTCTCTCCTTCCTACAAACTCGCCGTAATGCTGTTATCATAAACGTACAGCGCAAAGCTAATTAGATAAAAGCGACGATGATTTAATTATATATTAGTATCCCTTAGATAATTTCATTTTCTCTTCTTTAGCAAACGGAGGAAAAAGAAAACGGAACAGTTAATGAGGTCGTTTTAGTCCTTCATGGAACAAGTGAAATTCCAGCTCACATGAGGACTAAAAGAACATACAACATGGAATTCGACATGGTAAGTTCATATAAAACATTCCTGTTTATTTCTACATCTCCGTTTAGCAAACTAAAGTTGGAAACCGTATGAAACAAAATTTAGCTTTGGTTCTACTATCAAACCTTACAATACTTTCCTGTGTAAGTTATTTGACATGAAGATAAAATCATCACTGTTCGGAATAAAGAAAAGAAGATGAGAAAAAAACATTAACACAAATTTCTTATAACTTTAAAGTCACAATATTTTATATATAAGATTACATAAACTGTTCAGTCGTGGGCATACGAACTGTTTTTCAACATCCAGTTTGTAATATCCAATCTCCGAAGTTGTCCTCAACCTGTATGTTAGCCATTTCCCAACTTGCTGTTCATTTGGGAAAACAGAACCACCGGTCAACGCATTCGATTTCTCTCAGCAAGCGTGGCATAAGAACTTCCATCTCGAAAAACTCCGCCTTCAAAATTCCGCGCGTATGAACAATTATGACGTCACAGCCACTATCAAATGAACTTCTGTGTAGAAGGATTTTAAATACGGTGTTTATAAAAAAAAAAAAAAAAAAAAAATATATATATATATATATACATATATATATATATATATATACATATATATATATATATATATATAGATAGATAGATAGATGTAGATATGATTAAAATTACATGTACGGTTGAGTAAACATTCCTAACAGTGAAAGCGTAAAGGTCAAACTATATTTATGATACTGCATTCAAAACTATACAGTACATAATGAAAAAAAAAAATATATTCAATAGGTAATTAACAACCTTTTCCCTGTACATTAATTAAACGCAAAGTACAGCTAGTGTGGGGATGATATTAATACACCAACATAATATATAGGTAGACTAATAGACAACTAGATACAGTGATACAAAAGGAATAGAACACACGATGGATTAACCACCACATAGTATCCTTATTATAAAAGATTACGTATCTATAGATAAACGCAGCTTAAAAATTGCTTTCAAATATACACAAATGCCATCATTCATCAGTTAGTATTTACTCGGGTTTGTAGTCCAAATCCGAACTTAATTCTGTATTGATTTTTTTTATTTTAACGTGCGTGATTGATAATTGCACGGGATATGTAAAATGATATATTGTTTTCCTGATGCTCTTCGTTGTCATTTCCGCGTTTGATTACTTGTTTGTTTTCACTTACATGTGCAGGGATTCTAGCTGTCTGATGCAGATTATATATAATAGATTACACACACACACACACACACACACACACACACACATATGCATACAGATAGCAAGATATATAGGTGAATGGATACACGTAAATAGATATTCAGGCTAAATGTAACTCTTCCCGTCAGTCCGAGGAAGACGAAGCCGAGGACGACCAGCTGTCCCTCAGTTCGGACCATCTGCGGTCACTAAGCTGGGAGCAGCTGGTAGCTCTCCTGTCCCAGAGGTGAGTCCGGTCGAGTTTCTGGCGGGAAGGTATGTCCGGTTAAGATATATGTGTTTGTTTGTCTCTTTGTTTTTGTGTTTATTATATGTTTGCTTATTTGTGTTTGTCTTTAGTGTATGTGTTTGTTTGTCTGGTTGAGATATTTTTTATTATAAGTTTGTTTGTCTGTTTTTGTTTGTCTATAGTATGTGTTTGTTTAGTTTTTGTATTTTGGTATATGCGTTTGTTTGTTTTTGTCTGCTGTATGTGTGTTTGCTTGTCTATTTTCGTATTTAATACATGTATTTGTTTGTGTCTTTAGTAGGTATTTCTTTCTGTTTTTGTCTTTAGTAGGTATTTGTTTCTGTTTTTGTCTTTAGTAGGTACTTGTCTGCCTGTACATTTGTCTGTTTGTCTCACTCTCTCTTTCTGCCACTGTCTCCCGCCCTCTCATTCTCTGTCTCTCTCTGTCTCTCTCTCTCACTTTCACTCCCTCTTTCTGTCTCTCCTACTTTCTCTCTCCTCCCTCTTTCTCCCCCTCCTTTCTCTCTCTCTCTTTCTATCGCTGTGTCTGTCTGTCTGCTACGGGTATGCGTTTGGTGTTTTGCTCGTGGTGTTTAACACGTCGGACAGAGGCTCTCGTTTTGTTCTGTTTTATTATTTATTGGACATCTGAAACAGGTCCAACTATGACAAATATGAAGACACCTACTAAGAACATTAAATCAAACATTTTCATAGATATTTAAGATAATTATAATTCATGATTAACGCAAAATAGTTCAGAAAATCAAAGAATATTACTGACAAAATATTTCACCGGGTATAGTGTTGACAACTACCGGCTCGGAAACAATTGAGGAAATAACTTGTTTCATTACGAATATCTTGATTTCTCATTAAAAATACTAATTTAAACTACTCATTATTTTGTTCTGAAAATAAATGTGCAAAAATAACC